TCCAGAGATGGAGAACTCCTGAGGGATCTGGGGAAGGAGCTGAGCCTGGAGAAGGTGGGACCGGGGGGCTTTGCACACCTCCGTGGCAGGAGAGGACATCCAGGTGGGATTTGGGATCTCAGAGCGCAGCAGGAGAAGTTTGGGTGGGGTTTTGGGCTCGTTGTCCACGGCAAGGTCTCCACGTGGGTCTCTCGCAGCGTTTGGCCACCTACGGGATCACGGTGGCCGAGCTGACCGGGGACCACCAGCTGTGCAAGGAGGAGATCAGCGCCACGCAGATCATCGTGTGCACGCCCGAGAAGTGGGACATCATCACCCGCAAGGGCGGCGAGCGCACCTACACCCAGCTGGTGCGGCTGCTCATCCTGGTGAGCGCTGGAGAGGACACCCGGGGGCTCCTCAAGGGTTCCTCCAGGTGGAGATGGGCTTTGGGTGGAGAACCTCAAAGGGTTCCTCAAGGTGGAGCTGGGCTTTGGGTGGAGAAGCTCAGGAGGTTCCTCAAGGGGTTCCTCCAGGTGGAGATGGGCTTTGGGTGGAGAACCTCAAGGTGGTGGTGGAGAACCTCAAGGTGGAGCTGGGCTTTGGGTGGAGAAGCTCAAGGTGGATCTGGGGTTTGGGGCTGGAGAAGCTCAGGAGGCTCCAAGGAACACCTCGGGGGGTTCCTCAAGGTGGATCTGAGGTTTGAGATGGAGAACCTCAAAGGGTTCCTCAAGGTGGATCTGGGGTTTGGAGCTCAAGGAGTTCCTCAAGGTGGAGCTGGGCTTTGGGGCTGGAGAACCTCAAAGGCTTCCTCAAGGTGGACCTGGGCTTTGGGGCTCCTCAAGGGTTCCTCAAGGTGGAGATGGGCTTTGGGGGTGGAGAACCTCAAGGTGGGGGTGGAGAACCTCAAGGTGGACCTGGGCTTTGGGGCTCCTCAGAGGGTTCCTCAAGGTGGAGCTGGGCTTTGGGTGGAGAAGCTCAGGAGGTTCCTCGAGGGGTTCCTCAAGGTGGATCTGGGGTTTGGGGGTGGAGAACCTCAGGAGGTTCCTCAAAGTGGATCTGGGGTCTGGAGGTGAAGAAGCTCAGATGTTCCTCAGGGTGGATCTGGGCTTTGGGGGTGGAGAACCTCAGGTGTTTCTCAAAGTGGATCTGGGGTCAGGAGGTGGAGAAGCTCAGGTGGATCTGGGGTTTGAGGGTGGAGAAGTTTTGATGTTCCTCAAGGTGCATCTGGGGTTTGGGGTGGACAACCTCAAAGGGTTTCTCCAGGTGGATCGGGGGTTTGTTGCTGGAGAAGCTCAGATGTTCCTCAAGGTGGATCTGGGGTCAGGAGGTGGAGAAGCTCAGATGTTCCTCAAGGTGGATCTGGGCTTTGGGGCTGGAGAACCT